GTACTTTCCTAAGCGCGCCTCGGCCATTTTATACCCCATTTTTCTGTGACCTAGATAGCACAGCTGGACTTTCCGATCTCACTTATAATGGCAAACCTGAGGTTTCAGTGTCCGGTGAGTGTAGAAATTTTTTTAAAGGAACAGTAGCCTCTAGGTTCTAGGGTTATTTTCAGCTAATTTAGGTTATAATTGCGCTACATAAAAAGTTTTATGGTTCAATCACCTTTAGAAATATTTTTTTTTAATGTTTTAAAACTAACGACTACAGTTTGATTACAACGACGGTGGCGCCACTCAGAGCGCACGATCTGAGAAGTTGCGCAAACGGACTTTCCAGCCAAGGGCTACAGACCGAGGGTATTTCTTATTTATTCATTTAAAAGCAAAAGGATTGTAATATCTTATAAACGACGTATAGTTTCAGTTATAATATGGATAAATTTGCCCTAAAATGAATATCGTTCGGTTAAATAGCATTTAGGTATAAATATAATTGCACTTTTGTGATTAGCCCTCGGTCATTTACTTGCAAAATAAAAATACAAATACGCAACTTTTTCAGGGTGGCAGCAAGGTCGCGGGTGTCATGGCGCCGTTCAAATTTCGTAGCGTTGATGTTTAAATAATTAATTAAGTATCTGGTGACAAATACATGTGGTTATAGACGATTTGTTATACAGTAAGTACAGTTGTATGCAGTAAAATCCTAGAGGCTACTGTCCCTTTAATTATTTGCAGAGACGCATGAAGGTCACACATCTTATTTGTTTATGAACAAATCTGCGTGCGTGTGAAGCACCATGTCACGTGCATATTGTGACTATTGTGTTGGTCGAAATACTTGCGTTAGAAAAGGCAAATTATGGTACCTTTCACTGGTTGCCTGTGATCCAATCCAGAAAATCCTATAGCAAATTATATATTCTGTTTATGCTACAGATGTCATAAGTACATTTATGATGCTTGAGTATTTCTTAAGCATGAAATGGAACTGTGACTGATTATGGCTAGTCCTGTATACAACTGTAACAGTACACTGGTTGTGTTTATGGAAACTTGAACAATCAGTTTACAAGAATACATTTCGGGTTTTTGAGCAGTATGCATTTATAATGAAATACTTTCTTGTACTATTGTTCCATTTAAAATAAATAACAGGAACTGCTATATACATATATTTACACAAGCCAACAAAATCCATCTCTGCACACAAACACCAAATTGGTCATCTTTTTACTGGTCGCTTGGCAGCAGTTGCAGGACTTCTGAAATGTAACATGTGGGTAAATTTTAAATATCCAGATATAGACTTGTTTACTGTTATCAATGTTTAATAGCAACTTGGCAATGGCCAATCAAAACTGATGGTGATGGTGCATGGTATGATATCACAAATTTAGTGTGTACACTACTAAATGAAACTTACTTTTCAATAAGTTGGATAGTATTATGCGTAGATATAACTTTTCGATGGTTATTTCCAAACACTAGCTTCTCTATCTGTAAACACTAAAAAAGAAAATTAAATAAAATCTTAAAATCATGCCAATCCAGATGTTATTCATATAGACTTAACTATAAAACCAGCAGCAAACTCTATTACATCACTTCATTCACTATCCCTTCTAAAAAAATTTGGCAAATATTTTGAGTGTGGCAATATGCTGTATGGTGTTGTTGGGTTACAATTACTAATATTATGTAATATATATATATATACGCTTGCCTAGAATTACTAACACAACACAAGCTGCCTTACGTAGCGTCACGCACGCACACGAACGCACGCACCTTTTGGAGGAGGGTTAATGCATTCCTGAGTTGTCCCTGTGCGAGGAAGATGGATCCCATTAACTTATATGCTTCAGCAACAGTCTCACTGTAATCGCCAAACACTGCCTTCTTAGCTGCAAGAGTTCTCTTCAGCAAACCTTGTGCTTCCTGAGCAAAATGTAATCCAATTACCGTAGATTAACACAAAAGCAGCCATTGTTTTTAGCAAAACAATGGCAATTAATTGTAAGCAAATAGCACTAGAAGCATATGTATGTCTTTATTGGTGCAAAATTTTGAAAAGGAATGTTAATAATAAAACTGATAAACTGATAAACTGATAATATAGTATCTATCCCATCAAAAGTGTGTAGACAAACATTGGGATGTTGGGTTAAATGGGCTTACATGTGCCAGGTAACTAGTTCATTGTACACACAAACCAATAAAGCACTAGCCACCAGTGCTGGCTCCTTACCTCATGCCTGTTGGTGCGCACGTATAACTTCACTAGACTGTCCTGAATAAGCAGGGACTTCTCACTACCTCCACCCATCTCTGTCTCATAGATAGCAAGGGCCTCTCCGTACCACTGTTCTGCCAATACTACAAGAAATGATGTATTATGTAGTAGATTGCAGTGAGTACAGTGACGTTATGGGTTTCAATGGCGACCATTTCATTTGTAATGCAAAATCGGCTTGCAAAAAAAACTAAAACTCGATTACGCATTCTTTACTCCTTTTACAAATATTTTGTATTAACTCTAGGAGTGCAGTTCTATTTCAAGATCAAAATTTGTTATAATAGAAACACGTACCTTCGGCATCATATCCAATTGTTCGGGTGTATGCCAATGCCATCTGGTGGGCGACTTCTGCAACTTCAATGGCGTTATCGCCATAGAGGGAAAGTGCAAGCTCATGCGCTTTGTAGAGGTTCTTCACCGCACGATCACAGTCTGCGGCTGTGCTTTTATTCAGCTGACACTGCGCCAATTCTACATGTAGGTTAACCAACTTTTTCTTCCATTCTTCATTATCCTGACGAATATAAAATTTGATAACATATTATTATGTGTAACAGGAATTAATCATGGTGTTACATAAAGGAATTGATAAACAACCTGATGAGCAAATTTCAGAGCTTTTAGATTTTCTAAATTTCGAATAAGGGATGATCAACCTATTTATACATATATATATATTTATATATATATATATAGTATATATACTTATATATATATCATATATATATTATATATATATATTTAAAGAGCTCATAATAGAGAAGAGTATATATGACACCGTTTTAACAGCGTTTTGCATAGTTTTCAACTTGTAAATATTCTATCAATATGTAAATAAATATATTCAAACTTTACCTTGTTTTCGTCTATGATTCTCCCTTAATCATATGACACCACGAATTTACCTGAAAATCGTATGTGTTCTTCAAAAAAGTTTGTTGAATATGACACGGTTTCACAGTTTCCCCAACAATTCGCATCTGAGCGGCGCATGTTGATATGCGGCGGCAGTACCAGGTTGTAACTACGGGATGCTGGGGGCTGTTGGGGATATTAGGTAAGCACAGTAACAGCACTTGTTTCGCTTCCTTATCATCAGGAACACAATGGCAACACAGCTAAAATCATCTGCTAGCTCGCCGTGAGCACACATTTATTTCTAGCACGCTGGAAACGCTACACGCTGAATACAATTCGATGCCTAATATCCCCAACAGCCCTCAGCGTTCTGTCATAGACAATAGAACACTAATCCGATAATAAACTTGCGCCGAATAGATTCAAACATTTGGGAAAACTGTGTGAAACCGTGTCGTATTCAAAGAACTTTTTTAAAGAACACTTACGATTTTCAGGTAAATTGGTGGTGTCATATGATTAAATGAGAATCATAGACGAAAACAAGGTAAAGTTTGAATATATTTATTCACTTATTGATAGAACATTTACAAGTTGAAAACTATGCAAAACGCTGTTAAAACGGTGTCATACTCTTCTCTATTATGAGCTCTTGATATATATATATATATAGAGAGAGAGATAGATAGATAGATAGATTCATAGAAATGTTCATAGTATTACCCACATAATGTAAAAGCACAAGTACACTAGTTGTAATACATGACATTAGTTGTATGTTCAAAGTAACTCAAAGATGTGTGCATTCTAAACAACACACAATAAACGAGCACGCTTGACATGCCAATTCTTCCTGGATGCACACTCACGTACCTTCCCCGACCCCTCCGTGTGCTCTTTCATGATTTCCATTGCTTCGATGAAGTATCTTGTGGCATGTTCATACTTGGCTTGCCGCACATGTAACCTGGCTAGGGCACACGCTGTGTCAGCAGCAAAGGTGTCCGCCTGCTCTCCATTCACATCTGGCAGTTTGGCAATATCAGTGGCTAGTTTCTCAGCATTCAGCAGATTTGGCTCCGCTTCACTCAACCTGATGTGGAAATGTAGCTAATAATGATCTCATTGGTGCGATTTATATTTACTCTCAATATTCTAGCACAGTTCGAACTACAGAAACTGAATTAGGCACAGGCTACTTCAAAATGCAGTCACTATATAGTGTAATGTGTAGTACAGTGAGTGTAGTAGTGTATGTAGTGGTATGGACTGGTTAACCTTGCTCTTCTATCAAGTTTGAATGTACCACACCTACGCATGCATAAATTAACAAATACACATATGACAAGTGCACATACACACACACACATATACTTTACCTACATAAATGGCTTTTCACACTGAAAAAGAAGGCTCCAAATAAACTTGCCAACTTTACAATTTCCGTAGTTAATAAATGTTTGTCTAGGTTAGGAAGCCCACAAAATCTATTTGTACAATAAAACATGTTAAGCTATATCTCATGATAAGCATCAATAAAGAATACGTTGACACACCTGTTTGCTTGAGGACAGGCGTGGAAGGAGTGCTTACCTAGTGAGAGCAACCTGTGCAACTCCAAGCGTGAGGTAAACATTGATGAGCGCAGCGATGACCTCACACTTGTCTTGTTCCGTACACTGCTGCATGGCTCGGCTGTTCAGCAGTATTTCACGAGCAATCAAGCTATGCTGCTCTGCCTGATCAGCATATTCTAGAAAAGAACACCACATTGTACAACTATCCCCCCCCACAGGTACTTATATAACACTAAATATAAGCAACTAGTGTCAAACTCTTAGTGTTAATTTGAGGCCCACTGCTACTACTGCTGCTAGTTATGACTGTTACTGCTGTAGCTGCTACTATAGCTCTAGTAACTATAGCCCGCGTACAGTTGCCGCAGGGCTATAGAGCGTAACATGGCAACTTCGAATGAGTTTTATTCTCACAACTTTTAGCCTATAATAACTTCTTCGGTATGCCAAATAAAACACATTCTCTGCCGGACAAATGTTTTAAGTTACTATAAACACTAAAATAAAACAGCAAACTATCGCCTAAATATTGTACTTGCGATATTACTCGTCGACGAAGATTGTTTATCAACTTGTAACCGCCATTTCTCGTTGCGCACGCTCGCGGGGTTCCGGCGCTAGGGAGCGGGCACAATGTATTTCCAAGTGGAGGGGTGGGCAGGTTGCACGTGGTTGCAAACCGCGCTAGCGCTGCGCAACGAAAAATGGCGGTTTGCAACCATGTGCAACCTGCCCCCCCCTCCACTTGGAAATACATTGTGCCCGCTTCCTAGCGCCGGAACCCCGCGAGCGTGCGCAACGAGAAATGGCGGTTACAAGTTGATAAACAATCTTCGTCGACGAGTAATATCGCAAGTACAATATT